TTGACGCTTGGTTTCAAGTTGTAGACGATCTCAAACGGGGTCTTGTGCACGACTTTAGGTGACGGCAGTCGATTCTTGACGTAGATGGCCGTCATCGCTGCTTCGGCCCAGAAACACTTGTCCAGTTTGGCATGATGAAGCATGCTGCGGCCGATCGTGACAATAGTCCTAATGGCACGCTCTGCTGTTCCGTTTGTTTGATGTGCATACGGCACCGTTGTCTGCTGTTCAATGCCTTCGTCTTCGTAGAACAGTTGAAGCGAGTTGGTTGCAAACTCGCGAGCTCCGTCGTGTCGCACGAACTTGACCTTCTTACAGAATTGCGTCTGTACCATGGTGATATATTTCCGGATGTAGTCTTCACTCTCGGACTTCACTCGTAGACAAAAGCCCTTCATGCATCCACTGGCTTCGTCGATGATCAGCAGCAAATATTTGCTGCCACCGAGCGAATCCTTTTCCATGGGCCCGCAGATGTCCAGATGAAGTAGCTCAAACGTATCGTAGCTGCGCTTGTCTCGGTTGCTTGGAAATGGTTTTTGGACCATTTTCCCTTGTTGACATCCTCGACATGTAGTTGCTCCACCCGACTTGAGAGGGACTCGCACATCCTTGATCATGTTGGTCGCGATCATCTTGCGAAGTACATCGACTGGAGCATGACCCATTCTCGCATGTAGATCGGCACAACTGGTTCCACTTGTTGTCACATTCGCTGATCGTTGAGTCGTCCGAAGCCAGTAGAGTCCATCCACGAGATCCGCTGTCGCCACCACTTGCTGTGAGTTCTTGAGAGTCACATACATCTTGGACCCGTCAAACACGACTTGAAACTTGCCATGGCTGTTAATCTGTGGTACCGAGAGCAGGTTCTTGCTCATACTTGGAACATATAGCGCGTTCTTGATTTCGATCTCACGCTCTTCACCGTTGGGCAGAACCACCTTTTCCATGATGGTTCCCACACCCTTGATGGCCACCTTGTTGCCATCAGCCACCAAGAGTTCGCCCTCATTGCGCTCTGCCAAACTTGCGAACTTGGTCTTGTCGTGGCAAATGTGGTGCGTTGCACCACTGTCGACGGCCCACATTCCAGACACGTCCTTGCTCGTCGAAACTCCACATTCGAACGAGACTGCAAACGCCACTCGATCGTAGCCATTGCCTTCATCATGATGTCCCCACTGGACATTGTTAGCCCCGCGTCCACGACCATTGCCGCCGCGTCGGGCTCCCCGACCTTCGTTCTTCTGCTTTGTCCAGCAACGATCCACCGTGTGTCCCACCTTGCCACAATACGTGCATTGGTAGGGCTCACGCTCGGCGCTGAATGCCTTGCTTGCATCTTCAGCCTTCACCGTAGTCGCTGTCGTTGTCCCTTTTTCTCCTTGACGCTTGGCATGCTCATTCGTCAGGACTCTCACCACATCTTGAGTGCGAAGCTCGGTGCTGCTCATTTCCATGTTGAGCACCACATTTTCGTAGCTCTTCGGAAGACTGAGTAGCAGACAAATTGCAACGTCTTCGTCTTCCATCTTCGCACCGATGCCGCTAAGCTTGGCGGAGATGTTGAGGACCTCGTTGCAGTGATGCATGACGTTCGCGCCTTCAGCCATCTTGATACTGAAAAGTTGTCGCTTGAGGTAGATGCGTCCTGCCTTCTGCGACCCACCGTACAGCGTCTTCAGACTTGTCCACGCAACCCAGGCTTCCTCGCAGTTGTCCAGCACATGATGGTAGTCCGCGTTCATGTGCAGCAGCATCATACCAAACGCGACGTTGCTTGCCTTGACGTAGTCATCGGACGCTCGCGGGTCGGTGAAAGTCGGAGTCACTTCACGGTTGACGACGTGCCAGACGGACTTCGTCAAAAACACACCGCGCATGTATCGGCTCCACGTTGCGTAATTGTCTCCGTTGAACTTGTCAATGGAGGCGTTGCTGGTGGACGACATGGCGCTTGGGCTCATAACCTGTTGCATTGTAGATCGGAGCGAGGAAAGCGGAGCAAACGGAGCGGAGAGACCGAAGAGAGTAGAGCAGAAAACACTTGCCCAATAGTTGGAAGATTCGAAAGTGATTGATTATCGGGGCTTACTACTTACTACATGATTTATATGTGGTGTACATATAAATCATGTGAAGCGTCTCATCATCCTACGCGTCTAATCAACTATGGTAATTACCGTAAGAACTACGTCGTAAATACTAAGCTGAACAGGCGGTTCGGATTGGATCGGTCACGGTTACCAATACTGGTAGAAAACCGATGACCGTCAACAGCAGCCATCACGATCTCACAAAGCAGACGATGAATCCACTTGCCCTCTTGAATCGCCAAGCTGAGTGCGATGTATTCGGCTTCACTCGTGGACAACGAAACACTTGGCTGCTTCTTGCTGCCCCAACTGACTGGCGCACCGAGTAGCATGAACGTGTACCCCGATGTTGACTTGCGGTCGGTAAGATCACCAGCCCAATCCGCATCCGAATATCCACGGAAGTCGATCCTTGCACTTGGCTTGTAGCAAATTCCATGCGTCTTGGTGCCTTGTAGGTAGCGAAAGATACGCTTAACTGCAACCCAGTGTTCTTCTTGGGGATTTTCCATGAACCGCGACACATAGCCCACAGCAAACGCAATGTCCGGACGCGTTGCAGTGGTCAGGTGCATCAACGCACCAACAGCTTCGCGAAAAGGAGCATCGACCTTGGTAGTTGCATCACTTGAAACAAGTCGAGAGCTCATGTCGACTGGACTTGCGACTGCCTTGCAATCATCCATGCCAAAGCGCTTGAGGATATCATCGACATACCGACGCTGACATAGTGTCACACTGCCATCTTCACCGTCCAAAAGCTCGATCCCAAGAACAAACGCACACTTGCCGCTGTCCGTCATTTCGAACCGCGTCTTCAGGTCGTTCTTGGTTTGTGCAATCAGCTCGAGCGAGCTTCCAGTCACCAAGACGTCGTCCACGTAGACCAGTATAAACACGCAATGGCCGTCCTGTTGCATTGTAGATCGGAGCGAGGAAAGCGGAGCAAACGGAGCGGAGAGTGTTGACGGTCATCGGTTTTCTACCAGTATTGGTAACCGTGACCGATCCAATCCGAACCGCCTGTTCAGCTTAGTATTTACGACGTAGTTCTTACGGTAATTACCATAGTTGATTAGACGCGTAGGATGATGAGACGCTTCACGTGATTTATATGTACACCACATATAAATCATGTAGTAAGTAGTAAGCCCCGATAATCAATCACTTTCGAATCTTCCAACTATTGGGCAAGTGTTTTCTGCTCTACTCTCTTCGGTCTCTCCGCTCCGTTTGCTCCGCTTTCCTCGCTCCGATCTACAATGCAACAGTCAGGGCCGCTTACTGCTGCTTCAAATGTTGAGGGTTCTGATAAGTTCACTTCTGCTTCAACGGCATTTGCACTCGCACGCCAAAACACAGGCGGTGTTGAATCACCAGAATCCTTCGTTTCTTCGTCTTCTTCTTGTCGTGACGAGTTGTTTTCCGGCGCGCTTGACTCTTCTAGTCCTGGTCGTTGACGCACTGCACGCGGTCGTGGAGCTGCTGTATCTTCATCATTGAGTCGGTTCTTGCGCTTGCCTGTTTGCTTGTACTCCATTTGACGCAGCTCTTCGTCATCAAGATCCAGCAATTCGAAGTCCAGGTCATCGACATCTTCATCAGTGATCGGCAGTTGAAGTCCAAAGGTGGACTCGTCGAAGTTGACATCGCGGCTGATAACCACCTGCCCCGCCTCGATGTCATAAGCACGATATGCCTTCGAAACTTCTTCGTAGCCCACGAATATGCCAGCGCGAGACTTTGGATCCCACTTGAGTCGATTCTCTTTAGGCGTCAGTATGTATGTCTGACACCCGAATGTTCGCATGTGCTTGACGCTTGGTTTCAAGTTATAGACGATCTCAAACGGGGTCTTATGCACATTTTTGGGTGACGGTAGGCGATTCTTGACGTAGATGACCGTCATTGCTAATTCAGCCCAGAAGCAGTTGTCCAACTTGGCATGGTGAAGCATGCTGCGGCCGATCGTGACAATAGTCCTAATGGCACGCTCTGCTGTTCCGTTTGTTTGATGTGCATACGGCACCGTTGTCTGCTGTTCAATGCCTTCGTCTTCGTAGAACAGTTGAAGCGAGTTGGTTGCAAACTCGCGAGCTCCGTCGTGTCGCACGAACTTGACCTTCTTACAGAATTGCGTCTGTACCATGGTGATATATTTCCGGATGTAGTCTTCACTCTCGGACTTCACTCGTAGACAAAAGCCCTTCATGCATCCACTGGCTTCGTCGATGATCAGCAGCAAATATTTGCTGCCACCGAGCGAATCCTTTTCCATGGGCCCGCAGATGTCCAGATGAAGTAGCTCAAACGTATCGTAGCTGCGCTTGTCTCGGTTGCTTGGAAATGGTTTTTGGACCATTTTCCCTTGTTGACATCCTCGACATGTAGTTGCTCCACCCGACTTGAGAGGGACTCGCACATCCTTGATCATGTTGGTCGCGATCATCTTGCGAAGTACATCGACTGGAGCATGACCCATTCTCGCATGTAGATCGGCACAACTGGTTCCACTTGTTGTCACATTCGCTGATCGTTGAGTCGTCCGAAGCCAGTAGAGTCCATCCACGAGATCCGCTGTCGCCACCACTTGCTGTGAGTTCTTGAGAGTCACATACATCTTGGACCCGTCAAACACGACTTGAAACTTGCCATGGCTGTTAATCTGTGGTACCGAGAGCAGGTTCTTGCTCATACTTGGAACATATAGCGCGTTCTTGATTTCGATCTCACGCTCTTCACCGTTGGGCAGAACCACCTTTTCCATGATGGTTCCCACACCCTTGATGTCGACCTTGTTGCCATCGGCCACCAAGGTTCGCCCTCATTGCGCTCTGCCAAACTTGCGAACTTGGTCTTGTCGTGGCAAATGTGGTGCGTTGCACCACTGTCGACGGCCCACATTCCAGACACGTCCATGCTCGTCGAAACTCCACATTCGAACGAGACTGCAAACGCCACTCGATCGTAGCCATTACCTTCATCATGATGTCCCCACTGGACATTGTTAGCCCCCGCGTCCACGACCATTGCCGCCGCGTCGGGCTCCTCGACCTTCATTCTTCTGCTTCGTCCAACAGCGATCCACTGTGTGCCCTACCTTGCCACAATACGTGCATTGGTAAGGCTCACGCTCGGTGCTGAATGCCTTGGTTGCATCTTCAGCCTTCACCGTAGTCGCTGTTGTCGTCCCTTTTTCCCCTTGACGCTTGGCGTGCTCATTCGTCAGTACCTTCACCACATCTTGAGTGCGAAGCTCGGTGCTGCTCATTTCCATGTTGAGCACCACATTTTCGTAGCTCTTCGGAAGACTGAGTAGCAGACAAATTGCAACGTCTTCGTCTTCCATCTTCGCACCGATGCCGCTAAGCTTGGCGGAGATGTTGAGGACCTCGTTGCAGTGATGCATGACGTTCGCGCCTTCAGCCATCTTGATACTGAAAAGTTGTCGCTTGAGGTAGATGCGTCCTGCCTTCTGCGACCCACCGTACAGCGTCTTCAGACTTGTCCACGCAACCCAGGCTTCCTCGCAGTTGTCCAGCACATGATGGTAGTCCGCGTTCATGTGCAGCAGCATCATACCAAACGCGACGTTGCTTGCCTTGACGTAGTCATCGGACGCTCGCGGGTCGGTGAAAGTCGGAGTCACTTCACGGTTGACGACGTGCCAGACGGACTTCGTCAAAAACACACCGCGCATGTACCGGCTCCACGTTGCGTAATTGTCTCCGTTGAACTTGTCAATGGAGGCGTTGCTGGTGGACGACATGGCGCTTGGGCTCATAACCTGTTGCATTGTAGATCGGAGCGAGGAAAGCGGAGCGAACGGAGCGGAGAGACCGAAGAGAGTAGAGCAGAAAACACTTGCCCAATAGTTGGAAGATTCGAAAGTGATTGATTATCGGGGCTTACTACTTACTACATGATTTATATGTGGTGTACATATAAATCATGTGAAGCGTCTCATCATCCTACGCGTCTAATCAACTATGGTAATTACCGTAAGAACTACGTCGTAAATACTAAGCTGAACAGGCGGTTCGGATTGGATCGGTCACGGTTACCAATACTGGTAGAAAACCGATGACCGTCAACACTCATAACCTGTTGATTTAGTGAAAAGCTTGACGACCGAAACTGGGAGTGATGCTGGGAGTCCACTCGGAAGACCGGAGAAGACACTTGGGGGGTAGATGGAAGATTGGAAAGTGATTGATTATCGGGGCTTACTACTTACTACATGATTTATATGTGGTGCACATATAAATCATGTGAAGCGTCTCATCATCCTACGCGTCTAATCAACTATGGTAATTACCGTAAGAACTACGTCGTACATACTAGGCTGAACAGGCGGTTCGGATTGGACCGGTCACGGTTACCAACACTGGTAGAAAACCGATGACCGTCAACACGCCCCCTCAATCCGAATGCTCACGAATCCCGAGAGCCGTCGTCATCTCCTTGTGGCGTGGTCCATGAAGTCCCTTCGTCATGATGTCCGCTAACATCACCGCAGTTTCACAATACTTGAGCTTGACTTCGCCGCGCTTGACCTCATCAAGGATGTGATGGTACTTGATACAATGCGCTTGGCACGGCCGTGGTTGACTGGGTTCTTCGTCATCTTGATACATGACTGATTGTCTTCATGAATCATGAGTTCCGGTCCTTCTTCATTGGCAGCCATCACGATCTCACAAAGCAGACGATGAATCCACTTGCCCTCTTGAATCGCCAAGCTGAGTGCGATGTATTCGGCTTCACTCGTGGACAACGAAACACTTGGCTGCTTCTTGCTGCCCCAACTGACTGGCGCACCGAGTAGCAGGAACGTGTACCCCGATGTTGACTTGCGGTCGGTAAGATCACCAGCCCAATCCGCATCCGAATATCCACGGAAGTCGATCCTTGCACTTGGCTTGTAGCAAATTCCATGCGTCTTGGTGCCTTGTAGGTAGCGAAAGATACGCTTAACTGCAACCCAGTGTTCTTCTTGGGGATTTTCCATGAACCGCGACACATAGCCCACAGCAAACGCAATGTCCGGACGCGTTGCAGTGGTCAGGTGCATCAACGCACCAACAGCTTCGCGAAAAGGAGCATCGACCTTGGTAGTTGCATCACTTGAAACAAGTCGAGAGCTCATGTCGACTGGACTTGCGACTGCCTTGCAATCATCCATGCCAAAGCGCTTAAGGATATCATCGACATACCGACGCTGACATTGTTGACGGTCATCGGTTTTCTACCAGTATTGGTAACCGTGACCGATCCAATCCGAACCGCCTGTTCAGCTTAGTATTTACGACGTAGTTCTTACGGTAATTACCATAGTTGATTAGACGCGTAGGATGATGAGACGCTTCACATGATTTATATGTACACCACATATAAATCATGTAGTAAGTAGTAAGCCCCGATAATCAATCACTTTCGAATCTTCCAACTATTGGGCAAGTGTTTTCTGCTCTACTCTCTTCGGTCTCTCCGCTCCGTTCGCTCCGCTTTCCTCGCTCCGATCTACAATGCAACAGGTTATGAGCCCAAGCGCCATGTCGTCCACCAGCAACGCCTCCATTGACAAGTTCAACGGAGACAATTACGCAACGTGGAGCCGGTACATGCGCGGTGTGTTTTTGACGAAGTCCGTCTGGCACGTCGTCAACCGTGAAGTGACTCCGACTTTCACCGACCCGCGAGCGTCCGATGACTACGTCAAGGCAAGCAACGTCGCGTTTGGTATGATGCTGCTGCACATGAACGCGGACTACCATCATGTGCTGGACAACTGCGAGGAAGCCTGGGTTGCGTGGACAAGTCTGAAGACGCTGTACGGTGGGTCGCAGAAGGCAGGACGCATCTACCTCAAGCGACAACTTTTCAGTATCAAGATGGCTGAAGGCGCGAACGTCATGCATCACTGCAACGAGGTCCTCAACATCTCCGCCAAGCTTAGCGGCATCGGTGCGAAGATGGAAGACGAAGACGTTGCAATTTGTCTGCTACTCAGTCTTCCGAAGAGCTACGAAAATGTGGTGCTCAACATGGAAATGAGCAGCACCGAGCTTCGCACTCAAGATGTGGTGAGAGTCCTGACGAATGAGCATGCCAAGCGTCAAGGAGAAAAAGGGACAACGACAGCGACTACGGTGAAGGCTGAAGATGCAAGCAAGGCATTCAGCGCCGAGCGTGAGCCCTACCAATGCACGTATTGTGGCAAGGTGGGACACACGGTGGATCGTTGCTGGACAAAGCAGAAGAACGAAGGTCGGGGAGCCCGACGCGGCGGCAATGGTCGTGGACGCGGGGCTAACAATGTCCAGTGGGGACATCATGATGAAGGTAATGGCTACGATCGAGTGGCGTTTGCAGTCTCGTTCGAATGTGGAGTTTCGACGAGCATGGACGTGTCTGGAATGTGGGCCGTCGACAGTGGTGCAACGCACCACATTTGCCACGACAAGACCAAGTTCGCAAGTTTGGCAGAGCGCAATGAGGGCGAACTCTTGGTGGCCGATGGCAACAAGGTGGCCATCAAGGGTGTGGGAACCATAATGGAAAAGGTGGTTCTGCCCAACGGTGAAGAGCGTGAGATCGAAATCAAGAACGCGCTATATGTTCCAAGTATGAGCAAGAACCTGCTCTCGGTACCACAGATTAACAGCCATGGCAAGTTTCAAGTCGTGTTTGACGGGTCCAAGATGTATGTGACTCTCAAGAACTCACAGCAAGTGGTGGCGACAGCGGATCTCGTGGATGGACTCTACTGGCTTCGGACGACTCAACGATCAGCGAATGTGACAACAAGTGGAACCAGTTGTGCCGATCTACATGCGAGAATGGGTCATGCTCCAGTCGATGTACTTCGCAAGATGATCGCGACCAACATGATCAAGGATGTGCGAGTCCCTCTCAAGTCGGGTGGAGCAACTACATGTCGAGGATGTCAACAAGGGAAAATGGTCCAAAAACCATTTCCAAGCAACCGAGACAAGCGCAGCTACGATACGTTTGAGCTACTTCATCTGGACATCTGCGGGCCCATGGAAAAGGATTCGCTCGGTGGCAGCAAATATTTGCTGCTGATCATCGACGAAGCCAGTGGATGCATGAAGGGCTTTTGTCTACGAGTGAAGTCCGAGAGTGAAGACTACATCCGGAAATATATCACCATGGTACAGACGCAATTCTGTAAGAAGGTCAAGTTCGTGCGACACGACGGAGCTCGCGAGTTTGCAACCAACTCGCTTCAACTGTTCTACGAAGACGAAGACATTGAACAGCAGACAACGGTGCCGTATGCACATCAAACAAACGGAACAGCAGAGCGTGCCATTAGGACTATTGTCACGATCGGCCGCAGCATGCTTCATCATGCCAAACTGGACAAGTGTTTCTGGGCCGAAGCAGCGATGACGGCCATCTACGTCAAGAATCGACTGCCGTCACCTAAAGTCGTGCACAAGACCCCGTTTGAGATCGTCTACAACTTGAAACCAAGCGTCAAGCACATGCGAACATTCGGGTGTCAGACATACATACTGACGCCTAAAGAGAATCGACTCAAGTGGGATCCAAATGATGAACTTTAGACTTCTTGGTCCGAGTGCAAAACGCAAAGTGAATATATATTTATAATAGGTACTTAGTTCGCAACTTTGAATACTACCTCTAAGCCTATTATTCGCAGTGACGTCATCCAGTGACGTCATTTCCTGACTTCGCCCTTACTGGTACATACCGGTACCCACCGGTATAGCGAAGCTTGGTCTTCCACTTGCTTCAACACTTGACGCAGCTTGACGAGGTGTCTTCTTCACAGCCGCTGTCTTTTCAACACTCCCTCTCGACTCGTTAGCTGCGGCACCTTGGATCCCAAGTCGATCGCGAATGTTTTCAAATTGTACAGCGGCGATCGGCTTGGTCATCATGCCTGCCAGCATATCTTGAGTCGGGCAATACTCCAAAACGACTTCACCTGATTCCACCTTCTCACGCACAAAATGGTAGCGTATGTCGATGTGTTTTGTTCTCTTATGGAACTCCGGGTTCTTGGCGAGAGCGATTGATCCTTGGTTGTCTTCATACATCTTGATCGCTTCGTCGCTTGTCATCTCACCAAGTTCCCCCAAAAGCACTTTGAGCCATACTGCTTCTTTGGTTGCTTCGGAAAGCGCCATGTATTCTGCTTCTGTTGAAGATAGCGCGACCGTCCGTTGTTTCTGGCTTTTCCAGCTGATGCATCCTCCGCTCATCATGAACACATAGCCGCTTGTACTTCGTCTTGACTCAATGTCGCCGGCCCAGTCTGCGTTGGTGTACCCGCAGATACGGCTTCCTTCTTCACGTGTAAACTCAAGACCATGATTGGGCGTTGCTTGCAGGTATCTCAGCACACGCTTCAAAGCTTGCCAGTGAGTCGGGCATGGGTCGGACGAGAACTGGGATAATGATCCCACTGCAGCAGCTAGATCCGGACGTGTGGCGACCATGAGATACATGATGCCTCCGACAGCACTTCGATATGGCACGTTGCACATGGTGTCTTCGTGCTTGCATTCTTGTTCACACATGTTCTTGGTTAGCTTCAGGCCGGGATCTTGAGGCGTCTTCACTGGCTTGCTGTTATCCATTCCGAACTTGGTTAACACGGACTTGAGAAACTTGGTTTGTTGTACAGTCACCATTCCCGTCTTACGGTCGTTCTTGATCTCCATGCCGAGAAAGTAATCGAGCTCACCGAGATCCGTCATTTCGAAGCGTTTGCTCAGCGCCATCTTGGTTGACTTGAGGAGTTCGTTGTTGCTGCTGGCCAGGATGAGATCATCGACGTAGAGCACCACGAGAATCATGTCTTGGTCGTCTCGCTTGATGTAGATGCAGTGGTCCGATTCGCACTTCTTGAATCCCATCTTGATCATGAACCCATCGATTGTTTGGTTCCACATGCGAGGCGATTGCTTCAAGCCGTAGAGTGATATCTTTAGCTTGCACACATAGTCCGGCTGTGTTGCATCCAGGTATCCGTCCGGCTGGTCCATGTAGATGTCTTCGTTGAGGGAGCCGTTAAGAAACGCTGTCTTGACGTCCATCTGATGTAGCATTAGGCCGTACTTAGCCGCCATACTGAGCACCACACGAATCGATGTGAACTTGGCCACCGGTGCGAAAGTTTCTTCATAGTCAACTCCGAATTTCTGTGAGAATCCTTTGGCCACAAGTCTTGCCTTGAAACGTTCAACTTCGCCATCTTGATTCTCCTTTACACGAAAAACCCATCGGCACCCGATGGCCTTGCGACCTTTCGGAAGAGGCACGATTTCCCACGTGTCGTTTCTCTGAAGCGAATCGAACTCCGAGTCACACGCTTCTTTCCACTTGCCGGAGTCGCTTGATTCCATCGCCGACTTGAATGTAGTCGGCGTTTCCCCCACTGAATCAACGATGTAGGCTGCTTCAAAATCCATTGCAGCCGCTGACACATGCTCAAGCGACGGACCTCTGTATGTTCTTCGCTTGGGACTTGGAATGACGGTAGCTTTCTCAAGTGATTGAGTGCGCGTGTGTCTCTTGATGTTGCTCTTCGAAGACCTGGTGTCTTCGTTGTCATCGTCGCTCGAGTCCATGTCGTCGTCAGTTTTACCTTCTTCTTTTTCTTCGTCCTCATCATGATCATCAAACTCAACGACACTTGACTCATCGTTGTAGTTGCGCGGACCTTCATCAAACTTTTCTTCCATGAATGTGGCATCGCGACTGATCTTGATCGCTCCTGTTGACACTTCCTCAAATCGATATGACTTCTGGTGTTCGGCGTATCCCAGGAAACGACAGAGTGATGACTTGGAGTCGAACTTCGCGCGTTTGTCTTGAGGCACTTGAACATTGTTGCATTGTAGATCGGAGCGAGGAAAGCGGAGCAAACGGAGCGGAGAGACCGAAGAGAGTAGAGCAGAAAACACTTGCCCAATAGTTGGAAGATTCGAAAGTGATTGATTATCGGGGCTTACTACTTACTACATGATTTATATGTGGTGTACATATAAATCATGTGAAGCGTCTCATCATCCTACGCGTCTAATCAACTATGGTAATTACCGTAAGAACTACGTCGTAAATACTAAGCTGAACAGGCGGTTCGGATTGGATCGGTCACGGTTACCAATACTGGTAGAAAACCGATGACCGTCAACACGCCCCCTCAATCCGAATGCTCACGAATCCCGAGAGTCGCCGTCATCTCCTTGTGGCGTGGCCCGTGAAGTCCCTTCGTCATGATGTCCGCTAACATCACCGCAGTTTCACAGTACTTGAGCTTCACTTCACCACGCTTGACCTCATCACGGATGTGATGGTACTTGATATCAATGTGCTTGGCACGGCCGTGGTTGACTGGGTTCTTCGTCATCTTGATACACGACTGATTGTCTTCATGGATCATGAGTTCCGGTCCTTCTTCATTGGCAGCCATCACGATCTCACAAAGCAGACGATGAATCCACTTGCCCTCTTGAATCGCCAAGCTGAGTGCGATGTATTCGGCTTCACTCGTGGACAACGAAACACTTGGCTGCTTCTTGCTGCCCCAACTCACTGGCGCACCGAGTAGCATGAACGTGTACCCCGATGTTGACTTGCGGTCGGTAAGATCAACAGCCCAATCCGCATCCGAATATCCACGGAAGTCGATCCTTGCACTTGGCTTGTAGCAAATTCCATGCGTCTTGGTGCCTTGTAGGTAGCGAAAGATACGCTTAACTGCAACCCAGTGTTCTTCTTGGGGATTTTCCATGAACCGCGACACATAGCCCACAGCAAACGCAATGTCCGGACGCGTTGCAGTGGTCAGGTGCATCAACGCACCAACAGCTTCGCGAAAAGGAGCATCGACCTTGGTAGTTGCATCACTTGAAACAAGTCGAGAGCTCATGTCGACTGGACTTGCGACTGCCTTGCAATCATCCATGCCAAAGCGCTTGAGGATATCATCGACATACCGACGCTGACATAGTGTCACACTGCCATCTTCACCGTCCAAAAGCTCGATCCCAAGAACAAACGCACACTTGCCGCTGTCCGTCATTTCGAACCGCGTCTTCAGGTCGTTCTTGGTTTGTGCAATCAGCTCGAGTGAGCTTCCAGTCACCAAGACGTCGTCCACGTAGACCAGTATAAACACGCAATGGCCGTCCGAAGTCTTGATGTAGAGACATGGGTCGAAGTCCGATACTTGAAATCCGATGGAGCACACATACTCGTCGAACGTCTCGTTCCACACTCGCGACGCTTGCTTGAGGCCGTAAATTGACTTCACCAATTCCAGGCAGTCGAACGTACTGTCAAGTTCGACGCCTTCAGGAATCACGCAGAACACTTGTTCCTTCATGACGCCATACAGGAAAGCTGTCACCACATCAAGCTGGTCGATGGGCCATCCAAAATGCTTGGAAATTGCGATCACCATTCGCAGCGTCACATACTTGACCACAGGCGAAAACGTCTCCGTGTAGTCGATGCCATACTTTTGGCGGAAACCCTTGGCCACAAGTCGTGCCTTGTACTTCTCGATTGACCCATCCGCCTTGCGCTTGATCTTGAACACCCATTTTGTGCCAATGGCGCGTTGTCCGTTGGGCAGCTTGGCTGCACGAAACACACCGCGAAGTCGCATTGACTCGAGCTCTGCATGAATTGCTTTTCTCCAGTGCACTTGGTCAGGGCCGCTTACTGCTGCTTCAAATGTTGAGGGTTCTGATAAGTCCACTGCTGCTTCAACGGCATTTGCACTCGCACGCCAAAACACAGGCGGTGTTGAATCACCAGAATCCTTCGTTTCTTCGTCTTCTTCTTGTCGTGACGAGTTGTTTTCCGGCGCGCTTGACTCTTCTAGTCCTGGTCGTTGACGCACTGCACGCGGTCGTGGAGCTGCTGTATCTTCATCATTGAGTCGGTTCTTGCGCTTGCCTGTTTGCTTGTACTCCATTTGACGCAGCTCTTCGTCATCAAGATCCAGCAATTCGAAGTCCAGGTCATCGACATCTTCATCAGTGATCGGCAGTTGAAGTCCAAAGGTGGACTCGTCGAAGTTGACATCGCGGCTGATAACCACCTGCCCCGCCTCGATGTCATAAACACGATATGCCTTCGAAACTTCTTCGTAGCCCACGAATATGCCAGCGCGAGCCTTTGGATCCCACTTGAGTCGATTCTCTTTAGGCGTCAGTATGTATGTCTGACACCCGAATGTTCGCATGTGCTTGACGCTTGGTTTCAAGTTGTAGACGATCTCAAACGGGGTCTTGTGCACGACTTTAGGTGACGGCAGTCGATTCTTGACGTAGATGGCCGTCATCGCTGCTTCGGCCCAGAAACACTTGTCCAGTTTGGCATGATGAAGCATGCTGCGGCCGATCGTGACAATAGTCCTAATGGCACGCTCTGCTGTTCCGTTTGTTTGATGTGCATACGGCACCGTTGTCTGCTGTTCAATGCCTTCGTCTTCGTAGAACAGTTGAAGCGAGTTGGTTGCAAACTCGCGAGCTCCGTCGTGTCGCACGAACTTGACCTTCTTACAGAATTGCGTCTGTACCATGGTGATATATTTCCGGATGTAGTCTTCACTCTCGGACTTCACTCGTAGACAAAAGCCCTTCATGCATCCACTGGCTTCGTCGATGATCAGCAGCAAATATTTGCTGCCACCGAGCGAATCCTTTTCCATGGGCCCGCAGATGTCCAGATGAAGTAGCTCAAACGTATCGTAGCTGCGCTTGTCTCGGTTGCTTGGAAATGGTTTTTGGACCATTTTCCCTTGTTGACATCCTCGACATGTAGTTGCTCCACCCGACTTGAGAGGGACTCGCACATCCTTGATCATGTTGGTCGCGATCATCTTGCGAAGTACATCGACTGGAGCATGACCCATTCTCGCATGTAGATCGGCACAACTGGTTCCACTTGTTGTCACATTCGCTGATCGTTGAGTCGTCCGAAGCCAGTAGAGTCCATCCACGAGATCCGCTGTCGCCACCACTTGCTGTGAGTTCTTGAGAGTCACATACATCTTGGACCCGTCAAACACGACTTGAAACTTGCCATGGCTGTTAATCTGTGGTACCGAGAGCAGGTTCTTGCTCATACTTGGAACATATAGCGCGTTCTTGATTTCGATCTCACGCTCTTCACCGTTGGGCAGAACCACCTTTTCCATGATGGTTCCCACACCCTTGATGGCCACCTTGTTGCCATCAGCCACCAAGTTCGCCCTCATTGCGCTCTGCCAAACTTGCGAACTTGGTCTTGTCGTGGCAAATGTGGTGCGTTGCACCACTGTCGACGGCCCACATTCCAGACACGTCCTTGCTCGTCGAAACTCCACATTCGAACGAGACTGCAAACGCCACTCGATCGTAGCCATTGCCTTCATCATGATGTCCCCACTGGACATTGTTAGCCCCGCGTCCACGACCATTGCCGCCGCGTCGGGCTCCCCGACCTTCGTTCTTCTGCTTTGTCCAGCAACGATCCACCGTGTGTCCCACCTTGCCACAATACGTGCATTGGTAGGGCTCACGCTCGGCGCTGAATGCCTTGCTTGCATCTTCAGCCTTCACCGTAGTCGCTGTCGTTGTCCCTTTTTCTCCTTGACGCTTGGCATGCTCATTCGTCAGGACTCTCACCACATCTTGAGTGCGAAGCTCGGTGCTGCTCATTTCCATGTTGAGCACCACATTTTCGTAGCTCTTCGGAAGACTGAGTAGCAGACAAATTGCAACGTCTTCGTCTTCCATCTTCGCACCGATGCCGCTAAGCTTGGCGGAGATGTTGAGGACCTCGTTGCAGTGATGCATGACGTTCGCGCCTTCAGCCATCTTGATACTGAAAAGTTGTCGCTTGAGGTAGATGCGTCCTGCCTTCTGCGACCCACCGTACAGCGTCTTCAGACTTGTCCACGCAACCCAGGCTTCCTCGCAGTTGTCCAGCACATGATGGTAGTCCGCGTTCATGTGCAGCAGCATCATACCAAACGCGACGTTGCTTGCCTTGACGTAGTCATCGGACGCTCGCGGGTCGGTGAAAGTCGGAGTCACTTCACGGTTGACGACGTGCCAGACGGACTTCGTCAAAAACACACCGCGCATGTACCGGCTCCACGTTGCGTAATTGTCTCCGTTGAACTTGTCAATGGAGGCGTTGCTGGTGGACGACATGGCGCTTGGGCTCATAACCTGTTGCATTGTAGATCGGAGCGAGGAAAGCGGAGCGAACGGAGCGGAGAGACCGAAGAGAGTAGAGCAGAAAACACTTGCCCAATAGTTGGAAGATTCGAAAGTGATTGATTATCGGGGCTTACTACTTACTACATGATTTATATGTGGTGTACATATAAATCATGTGAAGCGTCTCATCATCCTACGCGTC